AACCAAAAAAAAAAAAAAAAAAAAAAAAATTAAAAAAAAAAAAAAAACCTCAGTAACCAACACTAAATAAGCTGCTTAAGCCAAGCCTAGTGGGGCATACCTGTAATCCCAGCACTGGGAAGGCTGAGGCAGAAGGATCGCTGTGAGTTTGAGGTTAACCTGAGCTAAATAAGCAAATGCAAGGCCAGCATGAACTACATAGAGAGACCCTGTCTCAAAAAACAACAACGAAGTGCTTAAATACAACTGGAATGCTAAACCTATTTAACTTATAATCAGTAATTAGGCGTGAATGTCCATTACCATCATAATTACCTTAAGGCACTTATAAAAAACTTCAAACACATACAAAAACACAATAAAACCCTATGTGCCATCCATCATCCAGTTTCAACAGTTAGAAACTCAAAGCCAGTAACAGTTTATGTACACCAGTACCTACTCCTCCTGCCCATGAGCTACTAATAAAAAATGAGATACTTCATTCATGTTTCAGTATGCATACCTAAAAATAAGGGCCCCTAAAAATAGTAAGTCATTATCATAGCTAGGCAAAACGAGTAAGTTCTTTAATATAACCAAATACTCACTGAGTATTTGTATTTTTCAACTGCTTTTTTTTTTTTTTTTTTCTTTTGAATTAGGATCCAGGGGCCTGGGGATTTAGCTCAGCGGCACAGTGCCTGCCTGGCAAGCACAAGGTCATGAGTTCGATTCCCAGTACCAGAAAAAAAACAACAAAAAAAGAATTAGGATCCAAATAAAATTTAGATACTATAATTTTACCATGAATATTTAATACTACCTTAGTGAATTCAGTGAATCCAGTGAAAAACAAAAACTTGTTTGCTGCTAGTTCTGAATACACAGAAACACTAATACCTCTGTGTTAAAAATAATAAAGAATTCTAGCTAGGCAGGGTGGTGCATGCCTACAATAACAGCACTGCTAGGATGAGGGAGGAGGATCACAAGTTTGAGCTCAGCCTGGCAACTTAGTGGGACCCTGTTTCAAAAAAAAAAAAAAAGACTGGGGATGTAGCTCAGTGTGAAGGCTCTCAATTCAATCTCCAGTAACATAAAAAAAAAAAAAATTTCACTCAGGCATGGTAGCACCTGTCTGTACTCCCAGCTACCTGGGAGGATGAGGAGGACCACTTGAGCCCAGGAGTTGGGAGGTCAGCCTGACCAACAGAAACACTGTCTCAAAAAAAAAAAAAAAAAGGCAGTCTTAGAGTAAGATAAGTCAAAACACGTTGGTGGGTGTGGTGACACACATATGCACTCTGGCACTCTGTGAGGCTAAGGCAGAACAATTCCAAGTTTGAGCCAGCCTGGATAACTTAAGTAGCTTAGAGAGACTGCCTCAAAGTAAAAAAGGCTTGTAAATTAGCTTGGAAATTAGTGTAAAGGCCCTTTGTTCAATCCCCAGTATCACTCCCCACCAAAAAAGTGTCTGTATAACAGCAATACATATTAAAGAATGAAAATGAGGCTAAAATGTCATTTACAACAGAGCAAGAAATTTTATTTACTTTTTTTTCCGGTACCGGGAATCGAACTCACTATGTCGCACTTGCCAGGCAGGCACTGTGCCGCTGAGCTAAATCCCCAGCCCCAAGCAAGAAATCTTAAACATGTAACAAATTTAATTTTAAACATGTAACAAATTTAGAAATAGAGAAATCAGGGTCAGCATAAACCAAACCATTTTTTATTTTCCCCAAGTTAGCATAATAAGTAGGTCCAGTTCTATCTACCTGGAATCCTTAATGGCATGGCTTTTTCTTTTCTTTTCTTTTCTTTTCTTTTTTTTTGTTTGAGACAACGTCTCGCTGTGCAGTTCAGGTTGGCCTTGAGCTCACTTTGTAACCCAGGCTCATCTCCAACTCACAACGATCCTCCTGCCTCAGCCTTCTGAGTGCTGGGATTACAGGTGTGTAGCCACCACACTGGGCCATCATGGCTTTCTCTTAAAGGGTTGGATAATACTCTTCAAGTTTACATGGAAGGATAAATGAGGAAATGGTGCCCCTTGCCTCAATAGCTAATTCACATATCAGATTTTTTTTTTTTTTTTGGTTTTTCTCCGGTACCGGAACCGAACTCACGACCTTGCGCATGCCAGGCAGGCGCTTTTGCCGCTGAGCTAAATCCCCAGCCCCCTCACATATCAGATTTGAAATCAACATAGTGTGATGCCATAGTATCCTGATGTGTCTCTCTGCCCTCCACAGAACCCCAGCATTGTTGAACAAGGGGTTCCTAGCCATGTTGTCCACTGTGAGGGTTGGCGCTGGCTCTAAGCAACTTCATGTGAGCACCGAAGTGCTGCACCTCAAACTGCCCTCAGTCCCCTTAGGTTCAGCATGACTGAGGGCTGAGGGTGTTCCTGGAGCGGGTAAAGGTGACTCAGTCCCATCAGCCTCCCTCCCAAGATCTATCCCGGAGGCACAAATACAGTAGAACAGGTAAGAGTCTGAATTCTCAGAAGACATTCAACTCTGCTTTAATTTTACCAAGTTCCTCCTGCCACCTCCTAGTTTCATGGGTTTTTTTTCCTGAAATACAATTGTGATCTAAAATGATTTCTCAAAATGTGAAATACAATTGTGATCTAAAATGATTTCTCAAAATCTCTTAAATGTGATCTCAAAAATGCGGTCAAAAGGAAAGTTTTACTCTTTTACATTGTGCTCATTTCAAGGGTCAAAAGTTGTTCTTTATCCTTAATCCACAGCTTTATGGATGTTCACATGTACATTAGAACCAAATTTCCATAAAAGATGAGAGGTGAAAAATGATGAATAAAACTGCACTTAGCATTATAAACTTATTTTGCTAGTGGTATTCATATTAATGGGATACTCATGCATAAATAGGAACTACCATTCGTTTACACATATTATTCTTATATCCCAAATCCACAAAACGACCCCGCCCCCTACTGTAGGATTCTGAGGTTCCTAATCGCTTATCCAAAATGCTCGGCATGTTTTGGCATTCAGATTCTTCAGATCCGAAAAAGGCACATGATGTACACTATAAAACATGACACTCTCAACTGGGCCTGGGGCACCCCACAATCAGACATGCTTTCTGTAGTGATGTGAGACCATTAACACAGAGTGGTATCAATACACTAAAAGGGCCTCACCTTAATTCTTTGGACAAATGAGTTTTGGTGAACCCTTAGGGGTAAGGGTGACAAATTTTCCTTTTAAAGATTCTCTATCTTAGAATTGGGGGAAAGGGACCTGAAACCATATTCACTAATGAGTAGAGAGGCAGGTACCATCTCCTTTCGCTAGGACAAATCAGAATGAGAATCTGATCTCATTTAAAAGCCCTTGCTCTTAAGGCTGGACATGATGGCCTGCCTGTAAAAGCAGCACCTGGAGACAGAAACGGATGAAATTTCCTACTTTAAGGCCAGCCTAGACTACACAGCAACAGTGACTGGAGATCAGGGTGAAAAATGGGAAAAATGAAGGGCAGGCTTTATACAAAGGAAGAAAATTAAAGTACAAAATAGACACAACGGTAAACAACGAACCTCAAATTAGAATCACTAGGATTCTTTCATGATCCTTACACCATTGTATTTTTCCTTATGATGACCAAAACTACTTCAAAACATTAAATATTTATCTTAAGTATTGTAACGACTGGGGCCGCTCAAATATTCGACAACCTAACCGCGTTCCAGAGAAAATGAAGGGTGTGAGCACAGGCCAGTGGTGTCGAAGACCATTCTCGGTTAGTGTTGGCAGTACAGGCGAAATAGATGGTACTGACGAAAACGGGACCAGAAAGACAAAACAGACCTATGCATTGTCCGAGGATGGGCCGGATCAGAGTTGAGACTTCACTGCTTCCCACCATCCCTGCTCAGAGTCCCCTCTCCGTGCACTGACAGCCCCCCCGCCCCGTCTAACGTCACCATAACCCGAGGAGAGCCGCCGTGGACAGGGCTCGGTCCGTCTATCCCCGCTTATCCTCCGCGTAAGGGAGGTTGGCTAGGGCTGGCTGGCGGACAGGCGAGTCTTGTGAACGTCGCGGAGCAGCTGGCACGCCGTCCTCCTCTCCAGGACAAAACGGCACCGTTAGAATGACAAGATGGCCACAGAACCACAAGGGCCAAGCGGACGGGAATTTGCAGCTTCCCTCCCCAACTCCCCCGCCCGCCGGCGGTCGACGACCCGACGCCTGGTATTAGAAGCCTACTATTGGGGTGGGGCGCCCGCCCCGCCGCTTGCTTCGGGACCGGGCCGCTCCTCCCCCACGCCTGCCCGGCCTCTGAGAACCACAGAACGCTTCCCTAGGGCTAGGGCGAGAGGGTCGTACCCACACTTTCCACGGAAGGACAGGCCTACGGTTCCAGCCCCCACCGCGCCGGGAAGCCTCCGGAGACACTCACCAGCCCGCTCGCCGGAAAGAGAAGCCGACAATCGCGCCGCGGGCCCACCCCGCCCCTCACGCAGGCAAATTGCGTCATCACGGCGCACCGCCCCCTGCCAACTCCTTCCTGGCCCAAGCTGCTGGACCTGTCTCCGCCCTATTCCGGCCCCTCCCATTGCGCAGGCGCAGACGCGTCCCCCTCGTCCACGTCTGTGCAGGCGCCGAGCCCCTCCCACGGCGGTTGGCCTTATAGAAACTGGGGGCGGGGGAGAGGTCAAGCGTAGCCTCTTCTCCTTTACCAAGATGGCGTCTTGTCTGTGTTTTGCCACAGTTCCTACGTTATGAGCCTGGTTTCTTCACGCTAGCAAGATTGGAACAGGTAATGAGATTCTTCGCCTTGTGGGTGACTACGGTGGGGGGAAGGGCTCTTCTTTAAAAAGGATCAGTTGGCCACGAGGATAAGAGGCAGCCGGAGCGGGCAAGTGGCGGCGTGAGTGCCAAGCAATGATGGGAAGGGGGCTTTCGACTCGGCTCTCTCCTCCAGGAAGATGGCGGCAGCACCGAGCTACGAGCGCCGAGCTGGGCCGGGTTGGGGCTGGCCAGCGCTGGCGGGGTTGCTCTAGCCGCTCCCGCGGCCGTCTCGATGGTACGTCGCCGCCCCGGGATTGGCTGCACGCGTGTCCCGTGGGAGCACGCCAAACGTACACCACAGAGTCTCGCGGGTCCCCGGGGACGTAGCCTTCCTGTGCAGGCCGGGGCCCTCGCCCCGCGGGGGAGGGCGGAGCCGGCGCGGCCCCTCGCTTCTCCTGCTCTAGGGCGCGAGGTGAGACCTGCGGCGTGGCCCGCGCGCCGGCTCTCAGCGACCGTCTCGGTGTCGGGAGGGTGCCGTACCCGGTTGCGGCCTTTCCGGGACTGGCGCGGCGGCAGATGTCCTTTCCTCCGTCCCGGGCACCCCATAGGCCAGGCAGCGCTCGGAAACGCCCGCATGGGCCTGGCTCCGAGGCCCCTCTGCAGGAAGCCTCCCTAGGGTGTCTTGATCAAGAGGGAACAAACACTTTTTGCGTCCCTAATGGATAACAAGCACGGTGTTGGGACCCCCGAGCTGTTCTGATACATGGCTTGTTGTGAGGATGTTTTTTGCGTAGCCTCTTGAAAAGGTGGTCAGGTGCTGCCTTGTGTTGTCTCCTGCCCGACAGAGAAGAGCGTCAGACTTGACATGGTGTTGCCTACTCTGCAAACGAAAGGAACCACCGACCTGTGTTTTATTTAAAAAAAAAATGCTTACGGTCAAATGAAACGCCTGGAGGAACTTGGGGAGGTGGTAATCTTTACAGGGTGACTTGCCCTTCAGCTTTGGGTTTTGTTCTGTGTATCTGTAGGTTCACAGCTATCCCAAATCCTCTGGGAATGACTTCACACATTTTGTTTGATGTTTGAGGAAAGTCAGTGGCTTTCTTAGCAAATTTGGTAAAACCTTTTCAGATAGGTTGAGGCACCAGATAGGATTTTTTCTGAGGTTGCTGGTGGCCACACTCCATAGTAAGCTCATTATGAAAGTAAACGTGGTACTGAAACACGGGATGAAATCTAGTGCTTAGGTTTATAGTTTCATCGTGTTGAACACAAAGGATTTAACCCCAAGGTAAACTTTTTAAAGTACGGGATACACTACAAAACCTGGAAGCAGTGTTTTGAAGTACCTGAAAAGCTGTTTGGTTAAGAATAGCTGCCGGCATATGAATTCCCACTTTTCTGGATCATGAACATAAACCATCATTAACCTACTGAAAGTCTTAGATTTGGAGAAAGTGCAGCATTCCTCCTAAAATGTCAGGAACAAGTATTAAAAACATTTAACTAACTCATAATGAGGATTAAACTTTCTTGATACTATATTTTGTGTGGCAAGCACAGTTGAATCAAACTGAAATCACCTGGAAGAAAGTACATGAAGTATAAGGGAGCACTAGGGCAGATCCATGTCACTGCCCTCTTTTCATGGACAGCAGGCCTCTCCCATTCTCCTGATGTGAGAACTTCTTAAGTATTTTCTGTTTGGCTTTGTTTTGATTTTCTGATTGACTCCTACCTTGTTCAAGGTGTGGTGGTACACACATGTAATCCCAGCACTCTGGGAGGCTGAGACAGGAGGATCACAAGTTGGAGCTCAGCCTGAGCAATTTAGTGAGACCTTGTGTCAAAATTAAAAGGGCTGGGGATGTAACTCAGTGTGAAGCCCCCAAGTTCAATTCCCATTACCACATACACATACGTAAAGAGAATACGTACTGGAAATTGCCAGTACCAGCCAGTTGTTAGGTTCTAGGGATGCAACGCGAAAGAAGATACAAATTTTTTTTCTTCACAAAGTTGGTTTAATTTGGAAGATTCACTTTTAAAAGAAAGCCAGTGTGATAAATGCGGTAATGGAAATATGTATATGATACGGAGTTAAGAGGCAGTGGTTACTTCTTGAAAAGTCTTCATGAAAAATGTGTCCTTGAACTGGGGTTTAAAAGATAAGTTTTACCAGGTAAGAATTTGGTAGTTTTACAAGGTAAGAATTTGGTAGACTACTCATGCTGTGAGAGTAGAGGACGTGACTCTCACGTAAGACGTTCTGACTTGAGCAGAATTTTAAATGATTAAAGTATGATATCTGTTATGGTTTGTATCTGGATGGCTCCCCAGAGCCTCATGCAGGCATGGGACATGCTTCTAGAGTTTTTCATTGGTCCATGGTCAATGCTGGGATTATGGGTGTGAGTGCTACACCCAGCCTGGGGCAGGTACTTTGCATACAGTATAAAGGAGGGAAAGAGCCTTGCTCTCTGTTGCTTCTCTCCTTGTTCTCCTGTTGCCTTTGCTATCTTCCACGGCCCTGAATGGTTGCCCTCTGCTATGTGCCACTCTGCCATGGAGCCAGCTAAGCATGGACTGAAACCTCCACAGACTGTGAGCTAAATAAACCTTTCCTTCCTTAATTTTGGGCATCAGGTATTTTGTCCCAGCAATGAGAGAAAAGTAACCAAGACAGTGTCTTAACAATCTTTCATGGGTCTCCACTAGAGCCTCCCAACAGGAAGTTACTTACTGAAAGGGCTTGAGCAGAGAGCATACTTTATAGTACATGTTGCCATGGCCCCTTCTGTATGCATTCTTCCCATGCCACGCAGTGGTAGGGAATCGTATCCCTTTTTCATTATGCAATAGTGAAAGTCCTAAAGACTTACAGTGCACAGCTGTCTCTCAGTTGGCTGAGTTACAGTGACACAAAGTCTACGATGCATGTAAAGATTTTTGAGCAAGAAGAGAAACATAGAGCCTCAATCAATATAAGATGTCAAAGTGCATTTCCCCTTAAATTGTAAAAGTACTACAACATTTGGAAACCAAAAAAATGGTGAAAAGGGACTCTTTTTACATGTATAACATTTTTAAAAAACAGATTTCTATGTTTTTCTTTTTAATTTGTAGAATTAGAGACATTTTAAAGGTGAACTCCCTAGTAGGCTGCTGTTCTACGAGGCACTTCCCAGTTCCTAGAGTACCATTTAAGCTAGACCCCTGTTCTAAGGCAAATCTGGAAGTCCTGCTGTGTTAGTCATCCTGTTGACATTTGCTGTTCTTAATCTGGTAACAGTGCACTGATCATATATACTCTCTTTTAGTATTTATTGGCACCCTTATAAATTTTAAAATCAAAAATCTATTTTAAATCAAGAGTATATCTTCATGTAACTTACAGTGTCCAGTAATCATTGAAAGGCTTGTAAGAAAAAAGTCCTAATGCTCTTCCTCCAGTCCCGTTTCCTTCCCAACAGAGGATGCTCTTTAGCCTCTTAAGAAAATTTCATTCTTGGCTTCCAGTGCTAAGCATGCTTCCTTGACTTGTTTATTTGTATCTCCTGCCCTTGTTTCACAGATTGTTTCTTCACTTGACACTGAGAGCAGATGTGAAGTTTCTAGCTTTCTTTCACTCTTTTGCCTTCTTTATACCGACTGACTTATGGCTGTCCAAAGTAGCTAAGGTAATCCTTAATTCAGTTAGTTCAAGATTTAGTGCTTGTTACACATAAGCATGATACATACATGCTTATGCTGTGCTGTGCACAGCTGGGCCAGATGGTGTAATGGTATTACTTTTACCAGGTGTTATTATTATTATTACAAGTCCTGTTTGGGTTTTTTCTTCTTTTTTTTTTTTTGTTTTTGTTTGTTTGTTTGTTTGTTTGTTTTGAGACATGGTCTTGCTGTGTACTGCAAGGTGGCCTTGAACTAACTTATGTAGCCCAGACTCCTCCAGAACTCACAGATCCTCCTCTTTACTCTCCCAAGATTACAAAATCTTGTTTGGTTTTGTTTGTTTAGTTTTCTCTGTATTTGTCATTAGAATTGAGGCCCAGATTTTGTACCAATTGTCTAAAGTCTTTCAAGAAATGTAGTCCTTTGTATGACGAAATACAGTACTCTGCTCTTTTCATCTTGAATCAGTCTTTTTCAGTGTCTCTGACCTCTTGCAACCTTGACTGTACCTGGAATTTTCCTCTAAATCTCAGTATTCTCTCTGCTTCAGTCTTGGTTTTCTGGACCCCATGTCCTTCTGTCTTGGTTTTATTTTAATTTTGTGACGCATCTCCTCCAGTGGTTGCCAGAGAAAAAGAGGTTTTGAGATCTTTTGTGTCTGAAAATGCTTTGTTTCTCTCCCATTGTACTTGAGAGACAGTTTGGGCCTGATTTTGCTCCTCCCCAGTTCCCAGGGTTTTAGACGGCTTCAGCCATCCTGAGTCTTGAGCCTTTTTATGTGATTGCTTTCCTTGGTGAAGCTTGAAAGCTTTTCTGTCTGGAAATTCACAACGTGCAGCATAAGGTTGCTTTGGAGTCTATTCTCGCCTGTTGTCTTGCCTGCTCTGTGGACCTCTTATTTGGAAACACATGTTCCTCAGCACTAGGCTTTTTTCTTGATTTATTGGTTTGATTTCTTTCCATTTACTTTCTCTTTCTGTACTATTGGACCTTTTGACTAAAGGTCACTG